TCAAATTGAGAATAATTGTAAATTAGTTTTACTGTTGTTTTGCAGCAAACGGTGTCAGCTATAAGGACATTCCCATGCCGACCACTGTTCTACTGGGCCACACAACAACACTTAAGTGCAGTTTTAGTGCCCTGTCGCCAGAGGACATCGTTACATGGACAGGGCCACCTGGCGGCGGGACCATATCTGTCGGCCGTAGAGTAGGCCAAGGTTACAAGCGTCACAAGGTCACATTATCATCAAAGATGATTCATTTTCTACAGTGTTTGAGTGTTTTTGGACATGGCTTAGATTTTGCTGCCAATTCTAATATATTCAAAAGCATTTTTATCTTTATTCTACGAATTTTTTTACATGCTGCAGCTGGTTGGGGAAACACAAAAGGGGGAGTATCATTTACAGATACAAGATGTCAAGATGGAGGATGAAGGGATGTACATTTGTGCCAATCTTGATCTTTCTCCAAAAGAAGCCAAGTTAACGGTTGCTGGTAAGATGATATACTGCAACTTCATTTGTTATCTGTTTAGTCTAGGTTGTTTTATTTCGATCGCGAATGAATCAAAATAAGTCTCAAACAAGTCACAATGTTGCACCTTCAGTTCCAGTTCCGCTCCCACCTCTCATGAGAGGTCTGGAGGTTCCAAGAAAGGTTGGGCAAGAGCTTGTATTACGATGCCTGTCGTCTGGGGGTCACCCACTGCCAGAGCTTACGTGGTACAACGGTACACGGGCTTTTACTGGTGAACAAGTGAGACGGCAGGAGCGCGAAGGTCAAGTTGAAGCTGAACTAGTTATCCCACAGCTGACCAAATGGGACAACGGCATGAACCTGACCTGCAAAGCCAATCAGCCATTACCGGAGATTACGTCTGTGCAAGAGGCCTGGAATATTTTACATGTCCATTGTAAGTGTATGATAATGGCTAATTTGTTAAGGTGTCATGATCTTTAATTAAATTAACACATAACCCACATTTTACAAAACTTGAAAGGGAATCACGGACACACACATAGCTAGTTTCCGTAAAGGGCCTAAAAACTACAATTACTGGCACATGTAAATAAGTCTCAATAGTCTTTATCTCTGACGCGCCAAAATGAGAATGTAATATCGATTGAGTGCTAATACTTTATTGCAGATGCTCCAATGGTATCAGTTCCTATTACATCGGTGTCCGTCGTGGAGGGAGAGGCAGCATTTTTAACTTGCCTAGTCGACGGCAGCCCTTCTGCGAGCATCAGTTGGATAAAACTGGGACATCACATGCCGCTTGTGCAAGACGCCAGGTAAAAAAAAAACATGTGTTTCAGTCTTAAAATGAACATGTTTCAATACAATTCCACCATACGTATTCTGAATATATCTACTCACACTCAACATTAGGTTATGCCAAACATTAACGCTACAAGTAAATAAATCTGCCTTACGAGGGAATTTACTTGAAGGAAAGAGTTGTCACTTTTGTCTGGGGGAAATCTTGTATATTTATGATGATATTTTTTTTCTATACCAAAGAGAGCAGACCCTCCGCATCAGGAATACAACCCGTCTTGATGCTGGTATTTATCAGTGTTCGGCGGAGAATGGAATCTTACCCATAGGTGTGGGTACCGTTACTTTGAACGTTCTCTGTAAGTCTTTTATCCTCTATAATTATGGTAAACATGCGCTCATGATTAAGAGATCTTAATACTCGTACCAGCCGAACATAAGAATTTGTAACAACCAGTGAGCTTGGATCTTAACGTCATTATAATTATTACAATATTGTTATTGTTTATTATTTACCTGCGTAGTTTAAAACTGAACCATTCAGCAGTCATCGTTTTGTTTAGATAATGAGTTGAGTGAAAGATGTTTTTGTTTTATATTCACTATTATATTACGTTTTAGAAATTGCTAGTTATTAGCATATGCTGTCTGTTGTCTCGCCATTACAACCATTGACCTTTCTAATGTACAGACCCTCCTGTGATAAATCCATCCTTGGAGAAGGAAGTTACTGTTCAAGAAGGTAACGACGAGTTTTCGTTGGAGTGTGTAGTGGACGGTGTTCCAGAACCACGAGTACGGTGGCGGCGGAAGGATACAAATTTATATTGGGAAAACCCACTACGGTTCCACCGGATGAGCTACGACGTTGAGGGGACGTATCAATGTGTTGCAACAAGCGATGGATTTCCTCTACAGGCTAAAGACACATTCATCGATGTAGTTGGTAATAGTTTCTATTTACTGTACCGAAACAATATGCTTCCTTACATGAAAGGTGTATCCTTGTTTTTTTTGTCGTTGTTGCACGTTAGAATTACCAAAGTTCCATTCAGTTTCTCAATACAATTCTAATGATAAGTGTAAATGATGCTATGAGTAGAATACATATTCTCAAATATCTTGTTGATAGGGAAACCCTTCATGCAAAGAAAAATGGGCAAATCGACCATATCTGCCGCAGTTGGAGAAGAAGTTAGTATCACTTGTTCGGTGACGGCCGACCCACTGCCATCTAAAATAGACTGGATATGGAGAAATGATGACGAAGTAGAGAAGGAATTGCCAGCGAGTGTCAAAAGTAACATAGTTATCACTGAAGAGGGCCAGTGGATGACATCGGTACTGACCATACCTGATGCTACTGTGCAGAACAGCGGGAACTACATCTGCACGGCATCGAACGTCTTCGGGTCTGTCAGACGCAACATTCGTCTCGACATTTCAGGTGAAGCAAGCTGCTCACAAAAATTAGCTTTAGATATATAGTTAATATGTTTTTATTAATAAGCTGCCTTGCAGGGCAATGGCTTTTGCAGTAATGATATTATATATTATTTCCGATGTTATGCAAATACTACTAGTATTCAATAGATACGTACTTTTTTCTAACAGGGTCCTTGCCTATGGAGATCATCATACCTTCTATTACTGCTGGTACCATATTACTACTGACAACGGCAGCTGTTATGGTGATCTTTGCAAAGAGACGAGGCTGGATATGTAAGTCTCACATCGAAGGTAAGATCTGTTTTACATTCGAAAGGCTGCATTTTGCAATAAGAACGTATCTTTATTAATGAAAAGACGTTTTTGACAATGAAAAGACGTTTATGATTAAATATAATGTCCGACCATATGATATTTTCAGAACCTTTCCGAGTCCCAGTCTCTCGCCCGATGCCCCCTGTACCGAAGTACTTGTACAAGACCGGTACCATTGACTCCGGTGTGGAGGACCTACAGAAGCTACGGAAGATGTACGGTACTCTCAAACCACGTCCTCCTCCACGGATGGACACGGGATGGCCATCACCAGGACTCCCAAATGGAGGTATATAAATGGCTGATTCTGGAGTTTCTTTCTTACATTTTTAAGTCGAGAAGACTAATGATTTATGACATACAGGGGGCAAAATCATTTTATGCCACAGCTTTTGTATGTCTTTCTAAAGGATTGTTTGTTTACAAAATCTTGATGGTATATATAGCCAAGTCAAGATATATTCCGTTTTACTCAGGGTTAGTGCACTCGACGTCCCTCCCTCCGTACCCCACAGAGGAATGGTCTCGTCGGTACGGGTCTGCTGATTTGGATGGTTCACCTGTTGTAGTTCAGGTATAAATAGGCCATTATTACAATGACAAATGTGATTGGAATTAGCTTGCCTAACTAACATATTTTACATATTAAACAGCGCCTAATGCTATGCAATATTAAAAACTACATAAGCTGGAAAATATGGATTCCGTTAAACGCGTTGCTCTCCAATTGCATACCTACCGACGCCATATTTATGCATGAATTAACAATCATGACTGCTTTCTCCTTTCTAGTCTGTTGCCGTTGGCTCCGTGGCATCTGAAGTTTACGAGTAAACGTTGATAACGGAGTAACTCTGCATCTGTTTATTATTATCACTAAGTACAACGGCTGAGAATGGATGCTCTTGGATGTTGCGATTGTTCTAAACGTTGCCGAAATGTTGAATTCAACTATGGGTCTGACCACAGTCTGGCACCTTTTTCGCTACTGTCATCCAGTTGAATTTTAATCATAGCAGAGGACGATTATATTACCCTGTCAGTTTGATGCTTACCCTACTCGAAGTTAACATTGTAATTGCGATAGCGTGATGTTTTGGTATCTATCTGTGATTCTACACTATAAACCAAAAATATAGCCTATCAATTCACGTGAATAAAATGTACGTGCATCTTTCAATAGACATATAGCAGGCGTCTATAACGTTACGTGATGTATGACACACCAAATATCAGTAAAGGCGTCCAATCGTGTTATGAAATTAGAAAAATGTGGAATTTTACGTTTCAAGGATAAAATAACCAATCTTTAATCAATGTATCAAAAAAGTATACGTAATGCTAGTCTATATATCTACAATAGATATGTGATGTCATGCGGTTCCATTGATGTCATTTTACCTGTATACGTATGTGCAGTCATGAATCATGAGTAACACTGTAATAAAGGATATATTAGATAACCACAACGTTTCTAACAGTCGTATTTCCTATCTTTTCTACTTGCATGCCATCGTTAAGTCTGATGGTAATATGTAAAAGCAAGGGTCTGAACACAATTGTCACTTTTATGTATTGTCAAATGCAGTGGAACTAACACAATAAAAAATACCAGTTACTGGTCAAAGTTAATTACCTCATGACTATTAATATTGCAAATAGCAAAGAGCATGATAAAATGACCTCAAGGATTTATACTCCAACGTACTCATGAGGTTCCCAACACCAAAGGTGCATTAGTAACCTCCTTCCCAATAACTACATACAGAATAGTTAGACCTACACTTTAATGTATATGAAGATGGTAAGGTAAACTCACTATCCTTCTAGAACATTTTGAATCGTGGGAAAATACAAAATACCATCCACTGCCCTCGCATGAATACCTTGCGATTTTGTCATGCTATTATGCCTACCAACAGACACTAGTACTGCAAAACCTAATTCAAACAAACTTAGTTAATTCCGTATTGGTCCTCAGCCCTACCACATACAAGTGCATCCTCTAACTAAGGCTGCAGTAATAACACAGTCCGCAAGTGTCCTCGTTGCATATAACTGTCTTAAAATAAAGGTAGCTGCTAAAATACCTTATTAAGGTAGCTGCTAAAAACATTATTTCTATCACCTTATCTGAAGGTGACGAGCCACAAATGTCTTGTGGATTATCAAATCATTCAATAACACGTTACAAAAGTATATATAGCTAAGAAATGCACGTCATTAAGGTCCAAAACAAACTTGGCATGTATTGTATTCTCTATATTTTGTGATAAGCTATCAATGCCATCATCCAAACAAGCATTACGTCATTAACTAAGAAAGGATTTTTAGTGTACACGCAGACAAATTTTCAGCCTTCTGCAAGTTCATGATCTCACTGTCCCTGGAAGTTGTGCACCAAATCATTACTAAGTGACTTAGGCCATGCATTATGGATGACATAATGTAATTGGAACACATTACTTGGATTCCTCCAGCCGAAGTAATGTGTTCAGCTTTCCCCGAGGGCCGTAGACGGCTTTCATTTAGGGCCTGGGTCTATGGGTCTATGGGTGTGCGCGCACTGATACACACTGAATCAGACTGTAAACCGCCATATGGGACACACCCCAGCATTTTTCGGGCCATTTGGAGCTATCTGGGTACACGTATGAGCCAATTTCTCAAGTCCTCGTAACGTTGGTGGCTTTACCATTGGATCTGTTGTATCTCTAAGTAGCAAGATGGCTTCATGTGTGGACGTTCGTCTTCTTTGCTTCACCGTTTTATTCACTCTCCATTCACAAGGTACGTGTTGTTGATCATTATATGCGATAAGAACTACAGTTCATCTCAATCACCTAATTCTACTGGTTTGAGAAACATATTGAGTATCGCAGTCTTATGCAAGAGGAGGTAATTGATGTGCGATCGCCAAAAATAGATGTCTCGGACATTGGCCTCTAGCTATCGCCAATTACTGGACCATAAATATTGGCCTACTGTCTGAGATAGACTGAGTGCACATGAAATAGCATTGTGGCCAGTGTGAAGCTCACAATATGACCTTTACTTATTCATTCTCGATTACCTATAGCGGATTTACAATGCATACTATGCATCGTTTTTTGCGAGAAAAAAGAGGAAATGTGCTGTATAGTATTTTAGTTGATTTTGTTTACGGACACACTCCTTGAATTTAATTACAAAGTAAAGCAAGCATGCGTCACCTACCTGCTTTTATATTCACTTCCTGGAGATCCATCATGCTGTGTTTTGATGCATTACCCCAATGGGCGACTCTTATCATTTGTTGTGACACCTATAACATTCCTGTATCCATTTCCATTTCCTGTTCTTGTTTTACAATAACGGAGGTCGTGGTTTCAAGGACGCAATTGAAATTCCTATACTGTTTGAAGACATATTTGGGGTATAGGAAGTCTGTATGTAGTCACCGTAGTTAGAAACTTGGACGCTTGGAAAAGTTTATACATGTAGAATAAATATATTTTAGAATACCATAGAAGCTTACGATAGAAATAAACAATGTATGTTTATTATTTGCATGCATAATTTTTTTTTATTTTGTTTTGCAGCAAATGGTGCCAGCTATGAGGCAGTTCCAATGTCTACCGCTGTTCTTCTAGGCCAGACAACAACATTCCGATGCAGTTTTGGTTCCCTGTCGCCAGATGACATCATTACCTGGTCAAGGCCTTCAGGGATCATTTCTTCCGGCAGTAGAGTGGGACAAATTTACAAGCGTTACAAGGTCATACCACTTAATTAATCATTATGGTATTTTCAAAAGTATCATTACTCCCTGGAGGAGATCTAACGTCAGAAACCTCCGGCAGGAGTACTGTGGTTAGTTACTGCCCGTTTGTTGGCAGCTATAACACGATCCCTCTTCTGCATTCCTATGTAGTTTTTAATGTCGACTGCTAGTATGCCTACCTTTTTTTTACACCGTAGCAGTTCTAATAGGCCGTAACGTATTTCATAGAACACATTTGTATACATGAAATTGTGGAATATGTACTGTGCGCTTTTCGGTTTTCCCCCAGCATATTCGGTGTTAAAGGTCCCTTGTATGCATGGTTTGACAACATTTCGTATTGTTCCGTTTATTTCGTTTTAAAAAGCATTAAAGTAAGATATAACTCAGATGTATGTGCTGGAACAAAGTGATTTCTTTTACAGTTAGTTGGTGACACGCAAAAGGGGGAGTATCATCTGCAGATACGAGAGGCTAAGATGGAGGATGAAGGCATATACAGATGTGCTAATCTTGACCTTACGCCAAAGAAAGCAATGCTAACGGTTGTTGGTAAGACGATACGATGTTGATGATGTTGTTTGTTTTCATTCCTTTAGTCAGTGAATTGAAACTATTCAGTATCATACGTCTCAAAGATAAACATAAGGCATATAATTTTGTGTGCACCTTCAGTTCCAGTTCCCCGGCCACCTCTACTAAGAGGTCTAGAGGTACCAAGTAGGATTGGGCAAGAGCTTGTGATACGATGTCTATCTTCTGGAGGACACCCGCTACCAGAGCTGACATTGTACAACGGAACACGGGCTTTTACTGGAGAACAAGTGAGGCGGCAAGAGCGCGAAGGTCAAGTTGAAACTGAACTTGTTATCCCACAGCTCACCAAATGGGACAACGGCATGAACCTGACCTGCAAAGCCAATCAGCCGTTCCCAGAGATCACGTCTGTGCAAGAGTCCTGGAGTATATTACAAGTTCATTGTAAGTATGTGAGAATGACTAATTTCGATTGGGTATCATTGTCTTTTAATTACTTAAGTTACCACATTATTTTCAAAAAAAAGGGAGACACATGAACATACATTGTCTAGCTTTCGCGAGTGGTCCCTTAGCTACAAATCCTGGCAAATGAGTGTGGCTGTCAATGTTTATTTAATCTCATGCGCCCAAATGAGAATGTAACATCCATTGTTGCACTTACACTTTATTGTAGATGCTCCAATGATATCAGTTCCTATTCCGTCGGTGTCCGTCGTGGAGGGAGAGGCAGCATTTTTAACTTGCCTAAGCGATGGCAGCCCTCCTGCGAGCATCAGTTGGATAAAACTTGGTCATCACATGCGGCTTGTGCAAGACGTCAGGTGAAAAACCCGTGTTTTCATCTAAGATGTATAAGTTTCCATGCATTTCACCCATACGTATTGCCATATACCCACACGCTACAGAACGTTGTGTCAACATTAACGCTACAAGTAGTTAACTCTGTCTTAAGGGGAAACATGCTAAGATAAAGGAACTGTCCCATTTTTTTCGAACTGAAGAGCAATTTTTTTATCCATAGGAAGCAGACGCTCCGCATCAGCAATACAACCCGTCTTGATGCTGGTATTTATCAATGTTCAGCGGAGAATGGAATTACACCCATAGCTGTGGGTACCGTTACTTTGGAAGTTCTTTGTAAGTCTTCTTTATTCTATCACCAAAAAAAACTATATCTTTTTATTGTGCTCACGATCAAAAGATGTCAACATCAGCGATGAGCAATAATCAGAACCGTTTTCTCATCGATACTATAATATTGCCATTGCGGGGAAGTTGTAGTTGCGGCGTTTTTTTTAATTAACAGTTCGTACCCTATCATGTATGTTTTCCCGTAATTATAGTCACTAACATGCATAATTTACAGACCCTCCCTTGATTAATCCATCCTTGGAGAAGGAAGTTACTGTTCAACAAGGCAACGACGGGTTTTCATTAAAGTGTCTGGTGGACGGGAATCCAGAACCACGAGTCAGGTGGCGGCGGAAGGATGCAAATTTATATTGGGAAAACCCACTTCGGTTTTATCGAGTGAGCTATGACGTGGAAGGGACTTATCAATGTGTTGCCACAAGCGACGGATTTTCTCTACAGTCTAAAGACACCTTCATCGATGTAGTTGGTTAGTTTCCAATTACTTCAAAGGGCAATATTTCTAGTTTCTGATTACTTCACAGAAACAACATGTTTCTTGATATGAAATGTGTATAATTACTATTTTGTCAATGTTGCACTTTAAAAGAACTAAAGGACCATCCACAAATAACAATACGAAAGTATATCCATACAATTCTAATTTTTTGGTGGAAAAGGTGCTATCAGTGAAATACAGCGTATTGAATATCCCGTTTACAGGAAAACCCTTGATGCAAAGGAAAATGGGCAAATCGACCATATCTGCCGCTGTTGGAGAAGCAGTTCGCATGAGTTGCACTGTTACAGCTGACCCACTGCCATCTAAAATAGACTGGATATGGCGAAATGATGACGGAGTAGAGAAGGAATTGCCAGCAAGTGTCAGCAGTAACGTAGTTATCACTACAGAGGGCCAGGGAATGACATCGGTACTGACCATACCTGATGCTGCTGTGCAGAACAGCGGGAACTACATCTGCACAGCATCGAACGTTTTCGGGTCTGCCAGACGGGATATTCGTCTCGACATTTCAGGTGAAGTAACCCTCTCTCAAAAACCAGCTTGAGATAGAATAATGTGAAATCTTATGGTGGCATGGGAAAGGATGTCGACGTGTCGATATCATATTATATTACATTATCTTTATTTTCGAAGACACTTGTATAACTACGAATTTCTAAGTGATTTACATCTTTTGGTTTTTAGGGTCCGTGCCTAAAGATATCATTATAGCTTCCGTTACTGCTGGAAGCATACTACTTGTGACAACAGCAGCAGTTATTGTGCTCTTTGCAAAGAAAAGGGGCTGGATATGTAAGTCGTACATCGATGGTAAGTTATGTCTTATATTCTGATGACTGCATTTTGCTATTGATACATATCTGTATTTCTGTTGATAAGATCACGTTTGTGTAACTGTCTTTAAAGAAACGAAATGACTTTTATGTTTATTATAAGCATTTGCTTATGTTCAGAACCTTTAGCTTTTCGAGTCCCAGCCTCCCGCCCGATGCCTCCTGTACCGAAGTACGTTTACAAGACCGGCACCATTGACTCCGGTGTGGAGGACCTACAGGAGCTACAGGAGATGTACGGTACTCTCAAACCACGTCCTCCGCCACGGATGGACACGGGATGGACATCTGCTGGGGTCCCAAACGGAGGTAGATTAGTTGATAATGATTTAAAAGTTTTGAATCTCATATTTTAATTTAAGAAGGCTTACGATTCATGACATACAGAAGGCTCAATCATTTTTACGACATACTTTGTTCCTATTCTAAAAAAAAACGATTGCTTGTTTCAAAGAAGTTATTGCATTAAATGTTGTTTGTTTTACTCACTAAGGGTTAGTGCACTCGACGTCCCTCCCTCCGTACCCCACAGAGGAATGGTCCCACCGGTACGGATCTGCTGATTTGGATGCTTCACCTATTGCAGTTCAGGTACATATAGGCCGTTATTTGCATGCCAAATGTGGTGGTTGGAAACGTCTGTTGTTTACCTGCAAATGCCATGTTTATACAAATACTTTACAATAATTATTGTGTTCTTTTCCTTTTTTCTCTCTAGTCTGTTGCCGTTGGCTCCGTGGCATCTGAAGTTTACGAGTAAACGACGATAACGGAGTAACACTGCATCTGTCCAATGGCGATGGCTTAGGGCTGTGAACTCCAACTATGACCTGACCACAGTCTGACACCTTTTCCACTACTGTCATCCAATTGATTTCCAGTGATAGCGGAGAAAGACTAGTAGTACGTAAGGATGTCATTGTACGTGCGATAGCGCGAGGCTCTATGTTCTGGTGTAAATCTGTATTTAATAATTATTGTTAACTATAAACTAGACATATAGCCAATCACTAAACGTGAATAAACTTGACGTGAATCTCTTACTGCCACATGGCAGACGTCTATAACGTTACGTGATGTAAAGTGCATAATACCCCAAATATCTACATAGGTAGGCAATAAACATTAAAAAGATATGTAATCGTGTAATAAATGTAGAATTTCAAGTTTTAAAAGTTATATGTTATACAATTATAAATAATCTGTGATCAATGAATCGTAAAGGTACACGTAATGCTAGCTTATTGAGATATCTATCTATCTATATATGTGATGTCTTGTGATTCCATTGATGTCATTCTACACGTATGTTGCAGTCATGAGTAACACCGTATCCAAGCAAATTAAACAAAATTTCCTAAAATCATGCCACTTGAATAATCATTATGACCAATGGAAATGTCTAAAAGCAAGGGTCTAAAAGCACAACAATTGCCTTTTTGTATGTATTGGTATTGTCTGATGCAATGAAATAAACTAAAGAAATCAATGGTCAAATTTTTTATCTTGCTTGGGACTATCGGGGATAGCAAAGCCTTTGATCAAAAATGACCGCACGGATAAAAAAAGTACTCGCGTTACGCAATGCCAACACTTCATTAGTAACCACATCCCAATAACTATATACAGGTTAGTGAAACATATGCACTTTAGTGCAATGCATATGCATACGGTTAGGTTCACTCACTGCCCTACATTGTAGTTTGTTGCAGTAGCATTTTGAATGGTCACCCCGTGGTAAAATACCACCCATTTCCATCTAAAAAATACCTTGCAATTATTTTTCATACGTTAACCCTACCTAGACCGGGCTTTTTTTGACATGGGGGGACCGGGGGGGGGGGCGCTTTTGACCCCCCCCTAAGAACTCGCGAACGGTATGTCGTATGACCACCAAATTTTCAGAGAATGGTGTACTAGTAAAAATTTATCATATCTACAATTTTTATGTCGTTATGACGTAATATGACGTCATTATGACGTCATTAATGTGATTTTATTGGCCAAAACCGTCTAAATAGGTTTTTCCCTGAAAACCTCTCTGGTATACAACATAACTTTACCAAAAGTAGTTTATTGACAGAATATTATGGTGTACTAAGTCTTATGTTGCCCATAGCAACACCGGTGACGTCATAAAATGACGTCATGCATATTTAAGATATCCGCCATCTTGGATCATCAATCTTGAATTTTCAAAAATAGTTTTTTTTCATGATAAAGCCT